AGAATGAGTTGTATTTTAAAAAAAAATATCTGTGTAAGAATAATAATAGTAATATCCAAAACATGCATATAAAATGTCACGCAGGATCCAAACTTATAGTTTAGAAACTTTAAGAATTTATCCGGAAATTACACTATCAAAACATATTTACAGGGTGGAAGCTTCCAAAGGTGTTTCATAAACATTTATCATTTACATTATTTACACCAAGATAGAAACATGAAGATGACAATAAATCATCTCCCCTCACGTGTAGCCCCGCTGTCTCTAGCATCCTTCGCTGCTGGTCTACCTGCAAAGCAATCAACAATGAAAGGGTGAGCGCTAATCGCTCAGTAAGGAATGATCCATTTCATTCTAAATGTGCTATATAAACATCCATGCATACTCATACAAATAAGTATGTAAACATAGTACATGCACATTACATGTCATTATATAAAATCTAAATATCATCTAACATGAGTATAAATCATCTCATGATGTAAATAACATCATAACTCATGTAGTGCAACTAAATGCATATGAAGCATTTAACGTGTAGCCGATCGGACTTTTCTTAGCGTCTTAAGCACTTCATATCATCTAGCCTCAAATTCATCTAGAGCTCATATCATCAAGAGGCGTGCTTACGCGTTATTTAACATCTAAAGCATATATTCATCTTTCCTCAACCGGTATACGAGGATATGCTTACGCGTTTCCCATCATGTCTATATGCATCTCTAACATCTTATGGCATGTAAATACATATTTTGGTGAGCTTAATACTTTTAATTCATCTATGGATTATCAATCCATTTACATTACCTCTTGCTCACATACATCATCTTAAAACATGTATTACATTGCATCTTCATGCCATTTCATAACATTAATCATGCATTGACATCATGACCATGTATATCTTTCAAAGATCATCTAACTAATGGGTAAACATTAGTACATGGCATAATTACAATAATACATTAATAATCAATTCATAATCATAAGAATTGATTATGTTAAATCTTAAACTTTAATAACCAGTTTATGCTTCAGGCCATTTTCCATCCTTTTCTCAAACGAATTGGCTCTTGGCATAAACATAAAAGTTATAGGTCTGTGTCTTAGCTTTCTAATGCTTCAAGAATCATCTCATTTCGATTTTTATAACTCAAGTTATGGTCGAAATACAGAAGCAGGGTTACCAAAACCCCTAAGCCCATTAAATCCGAATTTTCATATTAACTATGCCACATCAATTCCTATTGACATTAACCAATAGGTTAACTTGTGGATCAAATAAACCTCCCCTTAATAGTCTTTAACATCTTAAAGGAAGTGTAAAATCTCATTCCCATAATCATCCATTATTGCTATAACATTGTAAGCTAATGCAAACAACACCTCAACACTTCTAATAGCAACCATTCAACACCATGTGGCCTCCAATACTACAATTTTTGCCACAATCAGTATCCACACTTCATTTTCTTCAATCAAACATAACAACTCATAAAACATAAAGAGCAATAACTTCATGTATAATGAATTCAAGGCAATAAGTAGAATAAATGAGTTCAACTACACTTGCCATCAACTAATTCTATGCCTTAAAGCCTTAATTTAAGGTTTCATAAAAATCTACAAACCCTAGCATAAACCCTAAAGTCATGGGAGGTTCTTCCTTACCTTTTTAAAGACTTCCTCCAACAAATCCTTTGCCTTTGACTTCTTTTACACCTTAATCCTACATATATAACATTATACCTCAACATCTACCTCAAATCTTCAAATCACATCAAAACTAAAGTTTTTAATCCTTACCTTAAACCCTTCAAATTGAAGATCCAAGGCTCCTATCTTGTTCTCCTTGAAAAATTATGCAAAACTCCTTGAAAACCTAGAGAAAGAAAGCTTGTTTCATGGAAGATTTGAGAGAAAATGGAAGAAATGTTGAAGAAAGGCTCTCTCCTTTGGCTTGAACGAATTTCATCTCATTTATAGGAAAATATTTCATTTATTTTCCAAAATTATGCAATTGGCCCAATTATTTTAATTGTATAACTCATAAGTCCTTAATTCTTCATATAAGGGCATTTTGGTCATTTCACACTAGACATAATTATTACTTAATTAATGCCATTAAATGCAATGAAGCCTACTCATCCTTGACTTTTTCAATGCTTATCCATAGGCAAAATGACCACTTCGCCCCTTATGCCTTTCTATGGATAATTGATTTATACCGTTCCAAAAGAATCGACTGTTTTACCCTTAGTTAGGTTTTATGCTTTTTAACATAAAATTAACATCTAAAGGACTATTTTGAGTTAGGAACATACCTTTGACATCTTGAATATTACACTGTTCCAGCGTCGGTAGTCGGCCGCCAACAATGGTGGACAAATCTTGCCACTAGTCATGCGTAATATTTTTCAAGTTCATGGGTATTTTCATCTTACAAATTTTGTATATAAGGATAAAATAGTCCTTGAATTTTTTTGTAATTTTCTTTCAAAACAAGGGTATTATTGTCCAAAAAATTTAATATCTAAGGGTAAAATTGTAACAAAATCAAGATTATCAAGTAATCTTAAAATACCTAAGAAAATGGATGTAATCAGATTATCTCATATATTATCAACAGTAATTACTATTGGTTTTGGAAGATTACTGAAATCTTATATTACTTAACAACCAAACGTGATAATCAAGTAATATAAGATGAGAGTATCTTGGTAATGGGAGATTACCACCAAGCCCCAACCAAACACACCCTAAATGTAATCAATCCATAATTCAATGTATTACAAATCTCGCATTCCATATGAACAGACAACATTATTAAATAACAAGTAATCATGAATCACCAAAATTGATTAGCTTTGCTCAATGTCTGATAATGCTAGTCTCCATCCCTCAGAAAACACAGCCACTATCTTCATGAGTCCCATCTCCAAATTAATCTGAAACCAAAAAAGATTTTGGTCTCACTTTAAAAAAGGGGTGGGTACAAATTTGCACCATTTCATATATTATTGCTAATGTGAATGATAGACTCTTGGACAACTTTATGGAAGTTTAACAGGCACAAAAAAAATAAAAATAAAAATAAAAAAAATATTAATTGCATTTAGTATTTGTTGTATTGAACTCTACTTGGAGTTCTTATGTAATTTCAGGTTTCAAAAATTGGCACACCAATCTACATCCTTTCTCTGGTTTATACTTCAAATTAGGGCTGGTTAACAAACCGAGCCGCTCGCGAACCGACTCGGCTCGGCTCGAGTCTAGCTCGTTAACAACTCGGTTCATATGGTTTCGAGCCGGCTCAGCTCGGTTCGTGAGAGAGAACGAGCCGAGTTTGAGCCTGCCTCAGCTTGGCTCGTTAGGCTCGCCAACCGAGCTTGGCTCGAATAAGTGTGGGGTTTATTGAAATATGGGGGATTACACTGAAATTTTCAAAACAAAAAGTTTTTAAAAATGACAAAGACCCCCCGATTTTAAAATCCCTTTAATCGTCTACATTAACTATTTGCCTTAAAATCAAACCAAATCCAAAAATTGTCAACACATTTTCCAGCTGTCTCTGATGTACCTCGTTGTCGTCATCAATACCATCTGCTTCGCTTAAGTGTTTGTTGCAGACTCGCCATCTTCAAACCCATCTAACCCTTCAACTCTTGTAGTGAAAAACTGAAATCTGCTTGTTTCCTTTTTTGTCCTCGCTATAAAACTCAACTGCTCCACCGTCGACCATCGTCTTGTTTGTAGTAAGTTCGTTTGTTTTGAATCTTGCTGAGTTGTTGTTACTTGTGTATGATTGATTTTTGTGAAACCCATTAGCTTCTCATGATTTTTGTGAACTCTCTTTTGTAACAAATGGTTTTTTCAGGTGAAACTGATTGTGTATTGATTGTGTTGTTGTCATTGACCGGCGTGGTGTCACCGTGAACCCCATTTGAGCCAAACAAAGTTACTTACAGCATAGTGATGAAGGTTCTTGGACATTGTGGCTATCTTGAATAAGCATAGGTAGTTTTTGCTGAGATGAGAAGGAAAAATTGGGCGCCGGATGAACCAGTTTATGGGCTTTTAGTAGATTTGTGGGGAAAGATTGGTAATGTTAGAAAGGCTTGGAAGTGGTATTAGGCCATGCTCCATGCCGATATGCACCCTAATGTGCCCACTTGCAATTGCATGCTTAGTGCTTTCCTTAGGGTGCACCAGCTGTCAGATGCTTATAACTTATTACAAGGCATGTTGACAACTTGACATTGGGTCTGAGGCCTTCTCTACAAACATATACCTTGCTCCTAAGCAATTTGTGTTGTTTGTATTAATTTTCTTTGCATTGCATTTTCTTTTGATGTTTATTTTTAAGTAGGTGTAGTTGTTGGGTCATGTTTCAGGAAAGGAGTATAAAAAAAAAAAAGGATTCTGCCCTTTATTTAAAAAAAAAAAATTGCTTTTTTTAAGCCGGCTCGCGAGCCGGCTCGAACTCGACTCGTTTAGTTGGCTCACGAGCCAAGCTCGAAATCCTCTCCATCTCTAACGAGCCAAGCCAAGTCGAAAAATCTGATGATCGGCTTGGCTCGGGCTCAACTCGTTTTCCCTTCCTTTTCACGAGCCAAGCTCATTTAGTCGAAAACTCGGCTCAGCTCGTGAACAACCCTACTTCAAATATATATATATAAACACATCAGCTACCATCATGAACTTTATTTATTTTATAAAAATCGTTGCATTATATATATATATAGCTTCTATTTTATTCTTTGACACGAAAACAAACCTTTTTATTTTTTCAGTATCCTTTCACATTATATTTTTTAGCTTTAAAAAAGCTGCAAGATAAATAATTAATTCAATTAAATTAAAAAAAATTGCACTAAGGATGTCGATTTTCTCTTTATCTTGTTCTAATATTCTTTAGCTTGGAAATAAATAAAAAGTGGACGGGTCATCCACGAGTCAAGTCAATATTAAGATAGCATTACCTTCCCTTTTATCAATCAGAGTTTTATTGATTAATGGGGTCAATACAATTTCGATCTCGTCCTTTTCCTTCCTTTTTCTTATTGGATACGCTCAGCTAGAACTTCTATACAGAGATAGAAGTTTATCTTGTTCTTTTAGATAAATGGCTTCTTCAGCGAGGAGCTTGGTGGTGGTGCTGCTAGGCTTGTGTATGTTGATCCTGAATGCTGGCTATGGCCATGGCAGCAAGGTGGAAATGGGATCTTATTCGAAGAGAAAGACTCCGAGAAATCTCTTGGATAATGGACTGGGAAGAACACCACAAATGGGGTAATTTTTTAATGCCTTGTTAATTTCCTTGGCTGTATATTCATCAGCATCTGCATCCTTATTATTCATCTCTATCAAGCATATAAATATAAAGTTTTAAAATCTTCTTGGCATATTAATTCTGACCATCGAACAGCTGTGAATGTTTAGGTTATTTTTCTAAGTATTAGAATTTTTTAAAGATGAGTATATAGTAAACAGCACAAATATCTCCCTTTGTGGACAGCTATTAATCTCCAATGAATCTTGATCAAGACTTCATGCTTAACATCTAGTAGTGAAGGCTTGTGTCAATTGAGTCTTCGTTAATTAGAGAAAAGATATGGTTCAACCACTAAATTGCTCAGAGAGATAAAGAGTCAAACAACTCAACTACTAACACACTCATCAATATTTGAACTCAACTACCTCTCCAACTTTATTATTTGAATATTCATAAGGCAAATAAAAGAAACTGATGACTAGTTGATGCCAAAATCAAACGCATTATTCTATCTCGGATGTGTTCTTCCCTGTTTATAATAATCTTTGTTTTACTTAAATTTGATGTTGACATTAATTTCATTGGCAAACAGATGGAATAGTTGGAATCATTTCAACTGTAAAATTGAAGAGAAACTGATCAGGGAAACAGGTATATATTTATTTATATATAAACTTTGTTCATTTGTAGTACAATAAAATTCGTCTATTAAATAATTTATTGAACCAGAAAATTGTGTTGATGACAGCGGATGCAATGGTGTCATCGGGTCTTGCTGCTGCAGGATATGAATATATAAACTTAGGTAAAAATCTGTGTTTATCTTGCACCCATTAATTTAATTAAGCTTATTTTTATTTATTTGTTTTATTTGTTTACAGATGATTGCTGGGCTGAACCTAATCGAGACTCTCAGGTACTACACTTATTAGTTGTTATTTAGTAGTAATTATTGGTAATTAAATAATATTAATATTGGCAGGGAAACATGGTTCCTAAAGCATCAACATTTCCCTCTGGAATCAAAGCTTTAGCAGATTATGTCCATGGCAAAGGGCTAAAACTTGGAATTTATTCTGACGCTGGGTATCAAATTTAATTAGAGATTTCATGCATGTGCTTAATTATATTGATTATCTTATTAATTAGGAAGTAATTATTTTTTGGTGAAGGACTCAAACGTGCAGTAAAACTATGCCTGGATCGTTAGGGTATGAGGAAAATGATGCGAAAACCTTTGCTTCTTGGGTACGGCGTATAGGGATTGATGTTGATTTAATTACGTTTTGCATAGCATTAATTTTGTTTAATTAACTTACACAGGGAATTGACTACTTGAAGTATGATAATTGCGAAAATACGGGTACTAGTCCTAAGGAAAGGTATCCGATAATGAGTAAAGCATTATTAGACTCAGGAAGACCCATCTTTTTTTCACTATGCGAATGGTGAGATATATCCGTCTATATCTTTTATTTCAATTTAATTAATTTTCTTTTAAGAAATATATTTATTAAATCAAATGTACAGGGGACAAGAAGACCCTGCAACTTGGGCCCCAAAAATTGGAAATAGTTGGAGAACCACTGAAGATATTAGTGACAATTGGGATAGGTAATTAAGCTTTTACATTGAACTAATTAAATAATTAATTAACTAAATTAATCTGACCCTCTGCGGTGGAGTGGAGCAGCATGACATCTCGTGCAGATCAAAATGACAAATGGGCATCTTATGCTGGACCTGGAGGCTGGAATGGTAATTAACCAAATTAATTAAACCTATTAATTAATCACTAATCTCACAATATCAGTAATGGGTTTGGTTAATTCATTCAGATCCTGACATGCTTGAAGTTGGAAATGGAGGCATGACCACTGACGAGTATCGCTCACATTTCAGCATTTGGGCTCTAATTAAGGTAATTACATATTCTTTAAAATATAAATAATTAATTAGAGGTATATTCAATTTCTAAATCTTAATATTATTATTATTTTTTTTTTTTTTTTGTTTTTTACAGGCTCCTCTGCTAATTGGGTGTGACATTCGAGCAATGAATAACCAAACTTACGAAATATTAAGCAACAAAGAAGTAATTGCAGTAAATCAAGGTTACTTTATATCATATTACCAAATCTACCCACATTAATAATTGCTTTTATTAAGATACATATATATATTAATAATTTGTGTTTATGAATCAGACAAACTTGGAGTTCAAGGGGAAAAGGTTAAGAAAGATGGGGATCTTGAGGTTAGTTTTTTTTTTTAATTAATAATTATATAGTCTTTAATTATTAGAATATTAATCCTTAATCTTTATCATTCATTGTTATTAGTAACAGATTCAGCTTACACAAATGGAAAAAAATATAAATATTATTGTAGGTTTGGGCAGGGCCTTTGAGTGGTAATAAAATAGGCCTAGTACTATGGAATAGAGGTTCTTCGACAGCTAATGTTACTGCTAATTGGGCTGATATTGGGCTTAATTCATCAACTGTGGTCAAAGCAAGAGACTTGTGGGAGGTGAGAAACAATTTACTTATTTATTTATGGATTATTATGAGTTATAGGACACTTTTATTAGAAAAGAAAACGATATTTCAGGGATTAAAACGGTTGAAATTTTTTTTTTTAAATGATTGAAATATACATGTGTAATTTTTTTTTTTTTTTTAAATATACACATCACTTATATATTTTATATTTTAGTTTAATTTTCTAATTTTTTTAATTATTTTATTTTAGTTTTGATTTTTTAATTTTAAATTATATTCTATATTTTAAATTTGATTTTTTTAATATATATTTCTTTTTTTTTTAATTTGTATAACTATATATTTTTTATTTTATTTTTAATTTCAACTATGGGTATATTATTTTATTTCTATTATTTAAAAAAAAAAAATCACTTACACATGGATATTTCAATCATTTAAAAAATTTCAGTGAAAGTTGTTGGTTTTAAACCATTTAAGTGTTCTCTCGTTATCTTTTCTGATAAAAGTGTCATATGAGGATAAGTTTGTGATAAAAATATCATTTGGTTGATATTTGATAATAACCCTTTTATTTATTTATTTATTTATTGGGTTCTCATTTTGATGTAGAAATTTACGATTTTTATGCAATTAGTGAGTAATTGTAATTAATGAATGCAGCATTCAACTAAATATTCAATCAAGGGAGAATTATCAGCTACTGTGGAATCTCATGCTTGTAAAATGTATGTCTTGACCCCAAAGCATTGAAGCAAAATATGGAGATATAGTGTCAGTGCATACAAATAAAGATTTTTGCAGTTTTTGGTATCACTTAATAAAATCACAAAATATGTGGCTTTATGATTCATGATATAGATTTGGGGGATATTTATACGATATATTTAATAAATATTTTATATTATATCTGTTAGATGCTGTGATTTACACCAACGTGAATCTACATAAGAGTTTATATAAAATCCATAATAAATATGTTGGATCAATACAAATCATATGTTCACTGTTCTTGCATTGTTTTCTGCTTTTTCTCTACACGCAAGTATAACTTACAAAAATATGATACCTAATTTGAGTAAAAAGTATGTTTATATACTGTTACAATATCATTGTAACGTTTATATACTGTTACCATGACAAACTTTTATAAAGTTAATTTACAAAGAATGAAACATGACATTAATACATGCTTCAGGGATTTGTGGCACAACAATATCAATAAAAATGAATGTAAAACAAGAAAACATATCCCCTTGTTTTTGTATGGATATAATCATAATAGATCTTTAATTGTTTTTTGAAGCCCTTTAAATTAAACGATCATATAAGGGATATACAAAATTAAGTCATTATTTTTTTTATTATAAAGTATTACATTTTAAAATATATATATATTTTATTTTCTCCAAAATATGATTATTTTTCTTATTTGTCTAATACTCCGGGAAAATTACTTAGTCTTGTAAAACTAAAAGATAAACATGGTGGACTAGGTTTGTTCAACGAGGCCAGCCAGCTCAGCTCGACTCGTGAGAGAATTGAGCCGAGTTCGAGCCTGCCTCACTAGGTAGGCTCGCGAGCCGAGCCAAGCTCAAATTAATAGGTGTGTTTTAGAGGTTTTCTAATGTACGGGGGATTGACCTAATATTTTTAAAACAAAAGTTTGCAAAATTGACAAAAAAAAACCTCAATGTTAAAATCCCTAAATCGCGACTCAAACCCATTTGGCAACAAATCCAAAGGAAATCAGAATATTTCAGGCAAGTAGAAACTAGGCACCGGTGTGTTTCCTCGTCACCGTTTCTCCCATCTACATCGTCGTCATGGTGTCGTAGACTCGGCAGCGTCAAACCCATCCACCCCTTCAAATCTTGCTGGCGTTTGGTCACACTTCATAGTGTGTTTTGCGACTGGCCGTGAATCCCATCTGCATCGCAAGTATGTTTCTTTGGTCTTTTTATGATTGTTAATTTGTTGTGTATGATTGATTTAGTATTCAGCTTTGAGGTTTAGGTGGGATACTTGGATAGTTGGATGTTTATTTCATCTATTCTGTTCTGTTTCAGGTGAGGTATTTCGGTGAATGTCTAATGGAGTTTTAGTTCATCTATTCCCTTCTTCAAGTTTCCAGACTCCAGTAGTGCGTCCGCCATATCCATCTTCAAGGTAGTGTGCAGANCACGGTTGAAATCCCCTGTAGTAGCTAGTATGAGATTTGCTTGTTTTGAAGGAATCTTTCATTTGGTGTTAAAGACATTATATTTATGCAGTGGAATAAATAGGCATAAGACATTTAATTCTACAAAGTCATTTAAAGAATAAATGGGTTTAAATGAATAAATAAAGCATTTAATTCTTCAAACAACATCTCTAATTAAAGAATAAATGACTGTCATGATGTATTAGTGACAATTAATATTAGTTCGAATTGACAAAATTAGATGCAATATCCAGTATGTAACATTTGATATGTACTGTATAATGTATTGGTTTGATGTGTGTGCAATGTAATGGATTTACATTATTTTATATTGGTTTTACATTAAATTACAGATTTTTTTTATATCGTTTATGGATTTGTAAAGGGAGGGTACTTCCTCAAGCACCCCTACAATGCAAAATACAATTACCAATAACTTGAATGCAACCACATCAAGTACGGAGCAAAGTATTAGTAGCCTAGAAAATGGCGATAAGTTCGCTTATCTTCAACATGTCAAACTTCCTATTTAAAGCCGACAAAATAGTAGTTGCAACATCATTACCAGCACTCGAAAAACTAATATGTTGTTGCCTCATAGAAGTTTTTCTCCTTAAACACCGGCTTAAATGTCTATTAAACTGGGTTTTATCGGCACTCGAAAAACTAATATGTTGTTGCCTCATGGAAGTTTTTCTCCTTAAACACCAGTTTAAATGTCTATTAAACTGGGTGGTGCTTCCGGTGGCATTAATACACAGCTTTATTTTGCAATTGATACACTCTGCCTTTTTAGTACCATTAGGGAAGTTTGACATGTTGAAGATGAGGAAACTTATCGCCCATTGGGTGCTCATGCATAAGCATCCATTTACTATTATGGAGGAAGAGGGCTTAAACAATATGATAAAGTATGGGATTCCTGAATGGACTCCGGTTTCCCGCCATACTTGTAAAAAAGATTGTATGAAGGTATATGAAAGTGAGAAGGCCAAATTGAAGACTTTGTTGAAGAGTGTGACAAAAATCAATTTGACTACAGACTTATGGAATTCAGGAAATGAGAAGATGGAGAATATGGTGTTGACCAGGCATTGGATAGATAGTACTTTGAGGCTAAATAGACGTATCCTCAACTTTGTTCATCTATGTAATAACTACTTCTTACTCAAATACTCATAAAAATATACATAATAAAATACATGTATAATAACATAAGTAGTTGGGCCCAAATTTTTCTTTTATTAAACATATACATTTTTTATACAAAATTAGTATCATAAACAAAAACTATCAAAAACTATGTAGATAGTGTAGCCATTCCTCCTCGCTTGCCGACGTCCATCCGATTGTGTCCTCACCTAAATCCTACAAAAACATAGAAAGACAACGGGGTGAGCACAAATAATGCTTAGTAAGTAAACCCTCTAGTCATCTATCCCCGTAACTCTCTCTCTCTAAGCCTTTCCTTACAATTCTCATTTGCTCTCTCTTTTATACTTCTCTCTGTTTTCTCTTTCTGTTTCTCTCTCTCTCTATTTCTCTTTCTTAGAACTCTTTTCTACTAACTCTCTTTAGTAAGTCACAGCCCCATCTTATCGGGGGCATGGCCGAGACTCGCTCCCGCTCTCCATGACTTCTACTCGTTCTTAGCCGATCGGACTCGGTTATGCATGGATTTGGAACCCTTGGCCATGTGAGTATATAATCTCTCTCTCAGGTAATCTCAGGTATAGCCCTCATCCGCATGCACTCTCACGGGCTACACCACTTCTCTCTCTCATACTCATGCCGCTCTCTCAATGCGGCGTACATGCGGGAATACTCTACCCATTACTCACGGGTTCCCCATCGCACAACCTACTCTATTCTCTTTTTCTCTCTTTTATATTAATAAAGCTCACACTCAAAGTTCTCTACTCTTTTTCTACTCTTTCTCTAATGCATATGGATGATTCATGCTCATTAATGTACTCATGAAATGCACAAATGCAATGTTGCTTTAAGATAGTCATTCTACACAGGTTACACTCAAGAAGGCATAACTTGAGTTATACATATTGGATTACTACGATTTTGATCTTCTTTTAAAGCTTAGAGACGGGGCTACAACTTTTATGTTTTGGTCTCAATCCAGTTCAATCTATAAGATGCCCAAAAATTACTCAGAAGGTCACAATTGTGACAGGACAGTTTTCACTTAGGCATTTCATCAAACATAATACATGCATACTTTAATTCTATTTTTGATACATCTCTACTTCTTTCTTTAACCATCCATTCATGGAGTAAAACTCCTCCACAATAAATCTAAACATGGCCAAGAAAAACACTTCAAATATTCTACTTAAATTCTTTCTAAATGTAACCAAACTTCACTTGGTTACCACAACTTCATTTCTACTTCTCATGGCTCAAATCTTTTCATCAAAAGCCATCAACTCATCAATAATATCATTCTCAACAATCAATCTCAAGCTCATAAACATAAGCATGCATATCAATCATTTGATTGCTTGAACCTTAACTTAGGTTGGATTTACTTACCTTATGGGTAAATGGCTTCTCTAGCACTTCTCCTTCCCTTTTGTATCTTGTCTTCTATCTACAACTTTAAACAATAACAACATAAGACTTTAACAAATCATAAGCAAATTCTCATCTAAAGTAAGAATCCTTACCTTAGTATGCTTTAGATTAAATCTCTACTAAAAACTACCCCAAAAATCCTTAGAAATTCTTGGAAGATTGAGTGGAGGATTGAGAGAAATTAGGGAATGAGAATGGCGGTGGAGATGGTGAAGAATGAAGGGCTTTCAACACTTAAACCCTTTTTAGCTCAGCTTACATACAATCATTCCCATTTTGCCCTTGCTCTTTCTTAGAAATTCCATCTATATCCCTTAGTCAATTACAATAATGCCCTCATTTTTATTACATTCTCCATGAAATTCTATCTCTTTTCACTCCCCAATTTTTCAACTAATTTTGAGTGAAAAGTCCATTTTACCCCTAATGAAAGTTTAAGGGATTTTCTTCACATTTTTCTCAAAATAACTTTAACAAAATTCAACTAAGGGCCCACCAACCAAAAATAACAACATGCAAGCTCAAGTGAGAACAAATCAATAAACATTCAAGCAATGCAACAATAATTTAACTACATACCTCAAGTGGGGCGTTACAATCTACCTCCTCCCCGGATTGGTATTGCGATTGCGGACGACATTTTCAAGTGCCTAATGGGATGGGAAATTGAAAATAAGGTATATACTATTTCTGTGGATAATGCTTCAAGTAATGATGTTGCGATTAAGGTTTTAAAAGAAATTTTTGAAGTTTCGAGGAAACTCCTCTGTGGAGGTAAACTGTTTCATGCAAGATGTTGTGCACACATCTTGAACCTGATTGTTCAGGATGGACTTTATCAAATTAGGCATATCATTGATGACATCCATGAGAGTGTGTTGTATATCAAAAATTCAGAAAGTAGGCTTAAGGTATTTTCTGAGATTATTTAACAACTTAAATTGTCGTATCAGAAACTTATTCTCCATTGTAAAACAAGGTGCAATTCTACCTATGAAATGTTGGCAACGGCAATTAAGTTCAAAAGTAGAGAAAGTCGATGACTTTTTAAAAGTATTCAGTGGTTCAACCAAATTCATTTCAGGGAGTGATTATCGGACGTCTAATTTATTCCTGAAGGAGGTATGTATAGTGA